TCTTCTGTTAGAATTGAATTGGATTTCAATATTACCATCTGGATACTCTATAATTTGATCTGGTTCTTGATTAACTGGAGTCCTATATTGTTGGTTCTCATTTGTATAGACCAGTTATTCGAAATATAATCTAGGACCAATTTACAGACTTAGGTACGACCGTATTGGATTTTTCCACATTTGTTTGGAAGAATACCGTTTGTCCTTTTGTATCCATTTGAAGAACATTTGGACTCAAGGTGTTCATCACCTTATAACATATTCGATATATTAAAGCAATATTCTGGGAGCCAGGGTTCATATCAAACCCTTGTGTTTTTAAATTTAAAGTAAGGACTTTAAGTAAATTAGGGTCAGTTAAAGAGATGGAGAAATTGGGGAAACAATTGAAATATACAGGGCCATTACAAAGACTAGATTCTACAACACCTAATATAGAGTTAGAGAATTTATTATGACGGCTATCTCTAAGACATAATAGTATAGAGTTATTTAATCCTAATCTAGTTAAAGGTTTAATTGCTATCTGAATTAACCTTATATCTAAATATTTATAGTCTTTGGACTTATGATCCTGGATCGTTCTTTCTGAAAGTAACTGGAAATTTTCCTGTTCATTATTAACTGATATACTTTGTTCTATAGTCTTTATTGCATAACTTGTTCTAAATTCAAATGTACCCCTTTTATATATGTCTGTAATAGGAACTCTTGGGATGTTCCAATTCTGTATTTGTTTTTCAATGTTATCAATAATTATTTCTTCCTTATTTTTTATTCTTAAGGTATTGTTTGATGATGATGCTGATTTGTTGGACAATGTTTTAATAAAATTTTTCATTGAGATAACGGATGAGTACACGAGTCAATCGATTTATACCACTGCGCCTGAGAGGCTCTCCTGGCCTTAGTCGGCAATAGGGTTACGACGACTTTGGTCTCAACTCTCGGACTTATCTCTAATGATAAAATTTTATTAAAGTCCTTGGCCTTAGAACAATATAATCATCAACAGTTTACTACTGTAATACTAAATTGGCTCTGATACCACTAAGCCCAAGATCTTAATTATTTTTTATAGTTTTGGAAGTCAATTTGTTGAAAACTTCAAGAGTTGGAGACTCGGATGTTATTATGGTTAATTTTATGGATATGGAATATGGAGAATATGAGAGTTGGAGACTTTACAATAGCCTATTAGACTTTTAAATGTTTTGTTACTTTTGTATGTTTGAAATTTGAGATATAAGATATGTTTGTATATAAAAACATATGTTGAGAACTTGCGATATTCTCAAATGGAATAAGTTACAAAATTTGACACAAATATATGCATATATGTGCATTTGGATAGCAAATATATAAAAAAATTCTAAGAATTTGCACTATAGGGCGCCCAAGCAGGCCACCTAGGCACTAGGCTCCAGGCAGGCCGCCTAGCATTTTTTGAAACCTTGGAAAAAAATCGAAATTTTTTTTTTTTCATACATAAGAACATTTAAACATAATAAATAAGAAAAATATTTTTTCTACAACTTTCTATTATTTTGTGAACCTTAGAGAGTTGAGTGTTTTTGCTCGTCGGTGGTGCCTCAATGTTACTTTCATGGGTGTAAGATATCCCTTGTGTCTAGATATTGCTTGGAAATATCTTTAATGGTCATAGAGAAGCTCATAATGTGCCGAACTTACTGATAAATTTACCGAGTTTTTGAATGGTCTTCATAATTCCGTGAAATCCATGGCCAACTTCTCACTGTGACGCCCAAGGGCCTCTTCTCTCTCTTCCTTTTCAATGTCATACGACACCATACCTGTTTCTGCCAAATATCCGTCTCCCAACCTGATGAGTAACATTTATTTATTCCAATGTTATATAAGGTTGTATAATTTGCTTGTACATGATTTCAAGTGGATGCATGGCAAGAACTAATCTTGTTTCAGACTTAAAAAGAACAGGACAAGGACCAATTAACAAGTTTCTTTGTTTTTTATTTTCTTTATGTTTCTCATATGCTTGTAAATGTCTTGCTTATTCTTTTAGGTATCTCTCTCTCTCTTTGGTGCAATGCATGACATATATGACAATCCCCCCGTATGTTAGCTAATTGTGTTGAGCTCAATGCGTTTACAAAATGGGTGGTCCGATCGGGAATTAAGCGATCTGGATCGGGTACAGGCTAGATCGTTCCGGTTCTGACTATAAAATGGGATCTACCGTTTTTATTGTACAAAATCGGTAGGTGATGTCATGACTCGGCATTTCTACACAGTATGATACCATATATCAATGCGCAAAAACAATATCGTGGCCCCATGTCCCATTCAATCGTCACAGGGTGATATAGTAGTCCTCAGGCTTTTTATAGAAGTGAAATCTTCTTAAAGTTTTCGATATGGGACAATTCTCATAGCAATTTGAGAACAAACCTATTAGCATGCAAACTACAAACCTATTAAACTATGCAAACCCATTAAAATAGCGTGTCTTCCATGTGGAATCCAGTTTATTGTAAACCTATTAAACTAGTGGGCGTCTTCCATGTGGAATCCATTTTATTATAAAAAATGTTTATTAAATTAATAAAACAAGTCTTTTAGTAAATTATGTTTATTATAAAAAATATTTATTTAATAGAGCAAGTCTTTTATAATAAATTATTTTTTATTATAAAAAATATACATACAAGGGCCATCTTTTTTTTTGAATCACGTTTAGTATAATATTATAATTAATAATTTTACTAATTATATTGATAACCAAATCTTATATATTATTTATTAATATATTATTATTATAAATTATATAATTTAGTGTCTTTTGTTATAGTTGTAAATTAGATTTTAAAGTTTATTCTTATTTAAATAGTAAAATTATTATAAAGTATAAACCGATAATTTCTATTTCAATGTATAATATTATTGTTAGTTAAGTTGTGATAATTTTGGAGGAGTAAAGAGAATTAATAAATGTTGGATTCGATACTGGATAATATTAAAATAAGAAAATGTTTTCTAATATTTTTAAATTATTTTGTTGCAATATTATAATATTATATTATAATTAATAATTATACATACATCTATACAGGAAAACAACGTCTCAGTAGTCACCTATTTTTACAAAGTAATGAAAGTATATAATGCGTTACTCTTAATTACGTTTAGGAAGTAAAAGAACATTATTTTTAAAATATTTATAGTAATTTTTTGAAAAGATTTTGAGACAAAAGTTGATTCCACCGATTATCTGATCCGAGGTGATGCCGATTCAAGTGACCGATCCGATTTCAAGAACATGCAATGGGTTAAGATAGGGGAAATTTTTTTTTGCCGAACTTGGAATGCCCCTAAAATGGGATGCTTTCCAAAACAAATTGAGAACAATGAAAGCACACTACAAGACAGTATGTGATTTAAAGAATGAAAGCGGTATGGATGGGATGGGATAGGATGGGGCAAAGGAAAAGTTTAATGCTGATGGTGCATTTTGGGAGGATATGTGTAAGGTATGTATCTTCCTTTGTTTTTAATTTTGTCATTTGATATACCATTCCAAGTCACTTAAATTTGTGGATAATACTCCTGCAGAAACATCAAGATGCGCATCTATTTCAAGACAAAGGCTATAAATTATAAATATTGGAGTGAGGGAGGGAGATGAGCATAATTGTCAGTAATGATTGGGGTAGTGGGGTTTGAGGCTAGGAGGACGGCCATGCTAGAAGCGGAGCGGAGCGGAGCGGAGAGGAATCCAACGAAGAGGGTCGGGGTGGCACATGGACTGTTGATGTCGAAGAGGATGTGGAAGTATCAAAGACACCTACACAGTCTAGTCTAGAACAACCGGAAGGAATACTGCAACTGCGGCTAGAGCATCATTTTCTAAATCTTCGACGAAGAAAAAGTTTAAACTTTGTTTGACACTGTTGGCTCAGTTGCAGAGGCTTTAGGATCAATTCAGTTGGCGAGGGATCCAACAAACTCTTTCTCAGATTGAAGGCCTCTATCAGAAGCTATTTTATGAGCTCACAGACACCACCAGTGCTAGCATGTTGTGTTTTTTGGCTCGACACATATTCTTTTGGCCGGAGGACATGACACCAATCACCAAATGTGCTTTTGCTACATGACCTATTCTTATTTGATATCCATTCATTGTTCTCATAAAGTTGAGATCAAGATGGATTTATGGTAGAATTGATGTATGTAAATCTCTGCATGTTCATTTTTTACCTTGATCTCATTACATAGTGTTTTATGATGATATCATCTTTATTAATTCCAATTAAATATAAATTATTCGGCCTTTGGCATATATTTTTATATTTGCTTGTTTGATGCTTTTGTGCCAGCCGATTTTAAGAAAATTGCTGCGATGTGACCTATAAGAAACGATAGATATTTGGGTAACAATGCATTAAAAAAATAACATTATCATAATAACAATAAAAAATAATATGATAAATGTAACATAATAAGTATGAGGATAATTAGAAGCAAAAATCTTCAAGTTGCATCCATATGCTATCCAAACAGCAGAAATCTTTCTTCAAGGAACTACATTTCGAATGAAATATATTATGTAAGAAATAAATTTTCCTAGACAATGTATTTCAAGGGATCCAAACAGCCCCTTAAATATTTGTATCCTTTTTTTTTTCTTATCTAATGGTTTCTTGGATCCCTTCTAAATCCCCACCAAAAAACACATATTTTAGTTATTATCTTGTCATTTATTTTTTATTTGTTGAATTGTCGATTGGGAACAATCCAGACCTAATCCAAATCATTGATTTAATAATTCGACGCGGATCTGTGGGTGAATGATCAGCCCCACCGATCCAATTTCTAAAACACTAGTACAAACAATACTTTCACTCAAAAAGTGTTGCCCCAGGTGCAGTGCAAACAACATATAAACAACCTGATAAGTGAAAGCCTCATGCCACTCAAATGCTGATAGTCATCTTAGAGAGAGAGAGAGAGAGAGAGAGATGTCTGACACAACAGAAGAATATGAAAAAATCATCATCCGTGCATGAGAGAGAGAGATGCGTTATTATCTGACCCGATAACAGAAGAATATTTAAAAATCATCACCCATGCACCAGAGAGAGAAAGAGAGAGAGGCTACGCTATCATACTCAACAACAATGGAATGTAAGAATGCCACCCCAATGTCATCATCCATGTGCCACAAAACTTCGTCGAATGGAAGCAAAATCTCATCCTTAACTCATCAACATGTTAATGTGAAGGCAGTCTTCATCTTTGTCGATAAATGGAGCATGTGGCATTTCCTTGACATGCATAATCAAAACATCAAAACAATGACTGTACATGGTGAACAAGAATAACTATAGGAATACCCCATGCCCAATTATGGATTGTGCAAGAGAATGGTAACTAGATCTCATCCTCCACAGTCTCAGCCAAGTTTCTCCCAACCCTGTAAAGTCCAACCTGAATTCAATATTAATGGGGACAAATGACGCGTGATTGGATCTCTCTCTCTCTC